CCGGCACATACCAGATCCAGCTTCTCTGTCTCTCTCTCCCTCTCTCTGTCTCTCTCCACCTCTCCATCTCTCTGTGTCTGTCGTTCTCTCACAGCCCCCACCTCTCTACACACTGGTTCCACGGTCCCCTTGACGGCTTGTGGAGCTTTGCCTCACGTGCGGCGCTGACACATGTCACCTCCCAGCTGCACTGCCCACGAGCTAGCTTCCGAAAAGCTGCAGCACCTCTGGAACTCGGGACTCACTTCCACATCCCCAGGAGAAGGTGGTTAGGTCACGTTGGGTCAGGGACAATCCATGGGAAAACTGGAGAGGGATCTCCTGAAACACAAGCTGCTATGTGAGCTGTGGCCTGGAAGGAAATGATACCCATTTCTAGCCTAACTGATTAAAAAAAATAAATAAACCATGAAAAGGAAACTTCTAGAAAACAGCACTAAAGTTGGCTTCTTTTCCTCATGACCAGAGCCAGGGTCTCTGAGTGGATTATGGTTCCTCTGAAGTTATCTGGGCAGGGCTGTCTGCTAGTCATCTGGCTGTCACTACTGCATCGTGATTCAGAATTTGGATTGATTCTTTGCCTGAACTCCTCTTCTTTGAGGGCTCACAGAAATGACATTGGCCCAATCCCCAGAGTTGGTTTCAAGGAGGCCTGAACTGGCAGAGGTTCCTCGGGTGGTCCTGGGATCCGGGGAGAAGCCTTGCTTTGACTTTCTTGGGCCGTTGCTCCTGGGAGACTCGTTGGGTCGTCTGGGGAGGGAGAGGCACAGGTTCAGACACCCGGGGATCTCTGGGGTCTCAAGGGGCAAATGGCCACGCGTGTGGCAACGCTGGGAGAGAGGACCACTCAGTAGGGTGCCTGGCAAGGCAGAAGGGAAACACAACCAAATGCCTTTCCTCTGGGAGCACACGGTGAGAGAGACGCGCCCATACTGATCTCTCCGGCCTCATCCCCTTTGCTACTTTGTTTATCTTTATAGAACTTCAACTCTGACATGCCATGTAGCTTACTTACTTACTTATTGTTTTGTCTCCCTCACACACACTAGAAGGTAGCTTTCGGTTCTTTTGTTCACCGCTGCATCCCCGGGACCTGGGGCAGGTGCGTAGTAGGTACTTAAGTATCCCTTAGAGGAACGAATGACATACTAGAAGCAAGGTCGTAGCAAGTGCGGAAGTTTAATCCACACTAGGGATTCAGAGACGGCTCTCTGGAGCCAGTCCAGATGTGCTTAAGCTACATCTCTGAGCATCAGCCAGGCAAATCTGGGTAGGAAGAGGAGAGAGGGGATCGCAAGCAAAGGATGGAAGGAAAGAACAGCCCGGTGTGTGCTTGGCTCACCTGCCCGCAGGGTGGGCAGTCTTCTGGATGTGGGTGTGCTGCAGTGGCTGTGGGTCAAGGGCCCAGGCTGGCGGGTACTGATCGGGTGAATGAAGGGCCTGAAGCCACAGGTGTCCCTCTTTGGGGGTGGGCACCGCAGGGTGACACACAGGTGCTCACTCTTGTGTGGGGCCTCAGTACAGGACCAGAAGGGGGGATGTGGCCCCCTTTCCCAGTAGCTGGACAGCCAGGCCCCTCTGCGGGCACTCACACTGGACCGCAGAACTATGGCACTTTGGGATTCCGGTCTGTGACGGGAGAGGGGCTCAGGATCTTGGTCAGCAGAGGGACAGAAGGGGCAAGGACCTGGATACACGCACTCCAGATGGCACAGGATCCCCAGTGTCAGGGGAAAGTGGATGGAGACTTCAGTCCGACTGCTCACTTTGGCTGCCGCCACTCCTGCCCCCTCCATGGGGAGTTGCTGCTGGGAAAAGGCGCTGCATGGAAGAAGGCCTCCTTGTTCTTGCCTCGGACGATGCCCTTACTCCGCTTTTAGCTCGGACGGCAGAAGAGCCCCACCCTCAGCTTCCTGAATGTTCAGTTTACAGCCTCATACTCAGCCACTGTCTCTGAAAGCCACTCCAGGGGGGAAGCCGGGTTGTTGAAAGCCCTTGTGTTGAACCTGGGCCCTGAGACCTGTCACCACCGTCCTCACGGTGACTTTCCCTCTGAGCGCCTTCCCGCACAGATCTTCATTTGGGACAGCCTCAGCTCATCAGAGGTGCTCATGTGACGCTGAAGCCCGAGAGCCCTGGGGCCAAGATCTGGGCTGCTTTTGTTCTGGGAGCCTCTTGGCCTTTATGCAAAGATGCCCACCCATCCTCAGGCCAGCTCTGCAGGGTCAGGGGCGATGACCTTGAACACCAGCTGCTGCGTCCTCAGAGACCATCTGTGGCTCCGCAATGCTCCCAGCAGCGTCGCACCTCTGGCTCGTCGTACCCCTCTCCTGCCAGGGCCACGGGCCCCTGTGTGGTCAGCCTGGAGCTTGCACTTGGTTCCTCTAGGCGTCTGCTTGCACCTGAACTCCCCTGTTACATTGTCCCCCGCTGAGAAGCTCCCCGTCTACACTGTAGTTCCTTCGAAGTCCCGCCCACGTGCAGCCCAGGATCCAAGCGTGGCTTTCAGAGCTGAAACCGGAGCTGAGGTTCTCCTAACCCTCAGGGTGACATAGATGTGGCCGCATCCCAGGCAGCTATGAGTATCGTCTCCCCAGAGACTTGACCAGGGAGTAGTGAGCAGGGGTGGGGTAGGGCTGGTGGCGGAGAAGGGTTCCCCTCTGCTATCACCTGGCTCTTGTTAGACCCTATACACCTCCCACTGACTGGGACATACATGAGGTTGCTTTGTACCCTCCCCCCCCCCCCCCCCCCTTTGCTCAGGCTTTGTTCTGCTTTTTCCTGGGCTGGAGGGGGTTTCTACACAGGATGGGGAGAGCACGTTTTGTTAAAAGCTAAGTTGGAGGGAGGGCAGGGAGAGATCAAGTAATTTAGAACATCTTTTTCAAGGCAATAGCTTGACTTGCAAGGCGATTTTTTTCCTCTATAGAAGCTGAATGGCACCTAGATGTTTTTCTTGATTTAACTTCCACAAGAAATCTTAAAGTGTCCCCAGGCGGATGGAGCACAGACCAAGGTGGAAGTTCAAGTTCTTATTAATGTTTTTTAAGCTAATGGCATACTTTGCTACGCAGCCATTCCTCGTGTACAAATACAAAGTTCGTGCTCAAAAGAAAAAAAAAACAAAGAAAGAGATTTGGTTTGGCTGTCTGAGGAAAAAGGCTGAGATCTCTTTGTTTCCTTCTTCGCATTTTCTGAGTAACGAATGAGTCAAACAGTGAAGGAGTCTGTTGGGGCAGCCTTTTATTCTTTCCTCTCAGGTGCCACCATCTCTGCTCCTTTTCTGGCCTCCCTTGTGACCCACACAGCTGTCCTACAGATTGTGGAAGAATGTGGGGTCTCTACCTGCGGTCCTCTGCTGTGGAGAAGCCCTTCCTGCTGGAGACGATGCCAGGATCTCAGGACACAACCTGACTGCGATCCCTGAAGTTGTACAGGGGACACGAATGGGTGGGTTGAGGCCCTCCCCTGGGACATTTGCTCGGTGGGGTGGAGGGGCGACGGTAAGGGAGAAGTAAGTTGCACTTCTCAAAACTGCCCGTGTGTCCTGAGTATTTATAGAGGGAAAGCTAGCAGAGGAAACTGAGTCCCTTGCTCTGTGGGACTCTTTCTGTAGGATGCACGACTCACGCTCGGAACAGAGAACCATGGCGACGGTGACAAAGCGGCTCTGTCCACCTGAGCCTCAACCGGCTGCTCCCTCACCCCAAGCCACACCCATCGGCATGGGAACCCACGCAATCCCCTTTGCCCTACGTCCCATCTCTGGCACCTAGTGGCTAAAAATCTGGGACTTGGCTCCTGAGCGGCCGGTTCAGATTCTGCCTCTGCTCCTTACTGGTTGTGTGTCTTCTGTTCATCTCTCCGAGCCTCAGTTTCCTCATCTATAAATCGGGGATCATGCTAGGACTCGGCCGTAGGGTTTTGTGAGGATTAAATGAGATTGAGTTTGGAAGGCGTTAAGCATAGTACGTGGCATGCCAGGAGTCAGGGACTCTGCGGTGATTCTGGTCTTTGCCCGCCTGGAGTCCGTAAGGAACCCTGGCTAAAGAGCTCTGAGCTGCAGCGGGAAGAGGGGAGGGTGTTCGGCTCCGGTTGGGGAAGTAAGACTAACCCATGGTGAGAAAATAGACACTGGCCACAAATAAATTAGGGATGAGATACGAAGAAAAGAAAGGATTGGGGATGGCTGAGGAGGTCTTAGAGCCACTAGACCTGGTGTCCAATGGGACCAAAAGGACCCTCTTTGAGTACGTAGAGGCCATTCTTCCGAGGCCCAGTTGGGGCTGGCTGAGGCTGAGCCAGCCTCCTGCAGACCCAGATGGTGGGCTCCAAAGATTTGACACTTCCCCAAGGCGATTTGCACTTGGACGTATTGAGCACCTGCTAAGGTGATCAGCATACATTTGCTGAATAGCCCCAGTTTCACGAAACATTATTCCGGGAAGTGTAAAATACATGACTTTCAGGCTTGTTGTTAACTATATACCTAGAGGCTTCCTGGGTAGACGTCCGGCAGAGCTGGAAAGCTCACTTGTTCTTCTGTGATGAGCACCCGATTGAGAAGTTTTTGAGGACAAACCCAGGCTTGGGTTGGCATGATTTTACTCCGCAATCACTGACCCTCCCTTATTTTCCTAGCCGTGCCAAGCTTGCTGACTTAGAAAAAGCATTAGTTACAAGTTGCTGTTGTTGTTGTTGTGATTGTTTCCCCTGTACTTCGGGGTTCTTTATTTTTTGTATTTTTTTATTTTTTTTATTTTTTTTAATTTTTTTTTTAATTTTTTTTTTCAACGTTTATTTATTTTTGGGACAGAGAGAGACAGAGCACGAACGGGGGAGGGGCAGAGAGAGAGGGAGACACAGAATCGGAAACAGGCTCCAGGCTCCGAGCCATCAGCCCAGAGCCCGACGCGGGGCTCGAACTCCCGGACCGCGAGATCGTGACCTGGCTGAAGTCGGACGCCCAACCGACTGCGCCACCCAGGCGCCCCCGGGGTTCTTTAAAACTTGGGCATAGTGGCTGTTCACGACAGGTTTCCATTTTCTGCTGTCTGCCCTGGGGCCACCTCTGTGCCTCTCACTGGCTTTATCCTCGGCCGGTTGGACCTTCTGAGGAGCCACCAGACCCTGCCCTGGCTGCCCTGGCAACAGAGGAGCAGCCCCTGGAGGAACATGAAAGCGAATGGAGAGCCTCTTATTTTTAAGATTTCTAGACGTGAGTTCTTTGGGGGACATGTTGCATAAACCCTGAGAATCCCTGCAAAGCACCTGTCAGCCCCCAAACCTTGGGAAGACATCTTGGGGTCCCTGGGGAGTCGGGGGAGTACTAGGTCCCTATCCTTAGGTTTTGTGGGGAGTGGGGGGGTTGTCTGAGGAGACAGGTCTTGTGGAGGCAATATGGTCCCACTGGACTTACCAAGAGATTTATGCCTTCCTGTTGGAGTTTCAAGGGTGATTTAAACTTTGAGCTCTTCACAACTTATTCGCTCACTTTAGACCTAGCCTCTACACAGCACACGATGCCACTGTGTAATAAGGTGGTCATTCATTCATTCATTCATTCCACCCACACTACCTAGTGCTTGTTTGGGGCCCGGTACGTGCCAGTGCTGGGAACACAGGGCTCCACTGTGCCTTCAAATCTGCAGTTACCCCAGGCACTGGGAGAGGAGAGTGCTCTTTGGGAGGTGGTGGTCAAGGCAACGTTCTCTGGAGGGGTGGAGTCGGGGCAGGTAAAAGAGGGATTGAAATTAGATAGAGGAAGGTGCTTTCTTGCAGGCTGGGTGTGCGGGACACCATGAGTGAAGGCAGCATCTGATCAATGTGCATTCTGTAGGCAGATGGAGATTAGTGGGCCTCTGTCAGGCTGGGGAAAAACCTAAAATTAGCCCGACCAGCTGGGCCTGGGCTGTGCAAGACCCACCCCCCCTTACCCCCCTGGCCTCCTCAAATTTCAGAAAGCACGAGTGTGTGCAGGAACAGTGTGCTTTGCCCGGGTCACCAGAGGCAGAGCAGGTCGCCCAGGGCTAAGCTGGGCAGGGGGTATGGCTCCCAGCAGAGATACGGTCTCTCGTATGGGCTCCCCAGTCCCGCAGGGGCCAGGCATGAGGGAAGGGGGAGCCCCTGCCCTTCCCCTCCCTCTCCTTCCTGACACTGCTTCCTCTTCTGCTTCCTCATTCCCCTTCCAGATCTGTGGGCTCTGGCAGCGTGGCCAGAGGCAGGTCAGAACATTCTCCGGGCCAGCAAGCTGTGACCGCCACGGGGCAAACCCAGCTGGGACGGAGGCCTGGGCAGGCACCTTCCTGGGGAATGGGGGCAGGAGCAAGCAGAAAGCCCTATCTTCACCCACTGCACCCCGTGCCAGCCTCCTTGCTGACCTTGCCTGAAGGTCCCTCCATCAGTCACCACAAGCAAAGAGCGGGTGCTGACATTAAGCCTTGGAGGTTGTTTGAAAAGCTAATCTTGCCTTAGAAGGCGCCGGGGTTGGTGTGAGAGGTAAGGAGCAAAGTGGCACCTTGGGAGTTGTGGGTGGAGCGGGGAGGACCCAGGTGGCGGCACTAGCGGGGGCCGGGGAGCTGGGCAGCCTCCTCAGTGTCCCCTACTCTCTCCCACACAGTGTCCACCCCACTCACATCAGATGGTTTTTCTTATGGGCTGAGCTGTGTGGCCCCCCCCCCCCCCAGTTTCATGTTAGAGCACCTCACAATGTGACTGTATTTGGAGACAGGATTTTTAAAGAGGTAATTATGTTAAAAGGAGGGTGGGCCCTAATCCATTATGACAGGAGTCCTTGGACACCTGCGGACAGAAGATCATCTAGGGACACGGGAGAAGATGGCCAGCTACAAGCCAAGGAGAGAGGCTTCTGAAGCAACCAACCCTGCAGACACGATCTTGAACTTGTAAACCTCCAGGACGGCAGCGACATAAATTTCAGTTGTTCAGGCCTCCCAGTCCGTGATGCTTGTCATGGTGGCCTTAGCCCACTAACACAGTCCCTGTCCCCAGAATGTCCTGTCTGGTGCCCCATCTTCTCATCTCTCTCCACTCTGGGGTCTTCCCTCCCGGGCCACCAGCCCCGGCTTTCACAGTCTCTGAGACAGTTGCAAATGCAAGACTGGTCAGGACGTTTCTTGAACTGCAGGTGTGCTGGAACCTTCTGGGGAATGGAGCACAATGAGCATGAGCAGGGGGGCTCCGGAGCGCTTCCTGACAAGGTGTGGTGAGGGTGAGCTCCCCGTGCCCTTTCATAAATGGCTCAGCATAAGCTAACGGCAGCAAGAACCTTCCCTGCAGCCTGCTACGCGGCCCACATGCCCAGCAGCAGCAGCCATTGAAATATGACTTTGGGGTTCCTCTCCCTACATAACTGCCTTCATCCCCTTTCCAGCGCAACGCCTTGCTTGTACGTCCCAGCCTTGGGAATTGGTGGAATATAGAATGGCCTGTCTGCGAAAGGCCTCAGCAAGTGCAAGCTGGCCCCGATTCCCAAGGAATAACAATAAAACTAGCACACAGACCCCGTCTCCCAGCTTCGCATTCCTTCTTTGGCAGAATGGAGAGGGAAGACCTTTGAGAAGCAGCGATCCGGGGTGATCTCCACCCCTCACCCATTAGTACCATGCTCACAGCATCAGGGAGCCCCCGTGACGAGTTTGTGTGAGCGATAAGAGGACGCCAGTCTGTAGGATGGGAGCCGTGGACGCTGGCCCACAGGGGCCCCATGTGTAAATGGGAGGAGAGGGCACATTGTTGGAGAAGGGAAAAAATCTACCTACCCCTGGCCTGCTCGTGCCAGGCAGGCTCTCTAGACCCGCGGCTCCAGGCTCTGTCTCCCAACTCTGGACTCTCCTGCCAGTTCTGGGGCCATTGCTGCTGGTGGGGGTGGTCCCGGGCCAGCCTGTTGGCTCCAGTTCTGGCCTCGGCAGGGGTCTGATGCATCACCCACCCTCACCGTACCAAGCTCTGCTGAGAGCAGTGTGCCAGACATCTACCCAATGTCTAGTTTCCCCTTCTTCCTACCAGCGGGACCCTGACTGGGGTTGGGGGATAGCCATGTGCCCAGGTAAAATGCTTCCTTGGATCCTTTGTAGTTAGTGGTGGCCACGTTGACCCAGTTCTGCCCAATGGAATAAGAGGGAAGTCGGCGGGGAGATATTAAAAAAAGAAATGACTCATCTGGCATGTTCATCAGCCCTTGACCTCTGACTGCTGACTTCACCCTATCCCTTTTTGCCTTCCTAGAAGACAGATTGGATGCCTAGAGGCTCAGCAGCCATCTTTCACCCATGAGGAGAGAAGTCAGGTGCTAAAAGTGTGCTGGAGGAGGAAGGGACAAGGAGTCTGGCTGACACCCTTACACAACAGCACCAAGTGTTGACTGCCAACTCCAAACTTAACTTTGCTGTGTGAGTTTTAAAAAAAAAAAATCTCTTCTTTGTTTAAGGCCTTGTTACTCTCTGGTTTTCAGTTCTCTGCAGCTGAACACAGTCCTCACTGAGACACAGCTCTTCCTATGCAAAGTCTGGTAGCTCCTTCTGAAATCTCGGCACCTACCCCAGCCCCAGAGCAGCCTGGCCCATGGATGGTTGGGCCTCTTCCCTGACCCCACCGCACGGAGGTGATGGCCCGAAGGTATGGGATCGCAGGTTTAGAGAAGGTGAGTGACTTGCCTTGTATCGCACAGCTAACAAGGAACAGAGTCAAGGGCCAAAGTCAGATCTTTTGTCGCAGGGGCACCTTTTCTTCTCTGATACTAGAGCTGTGGGTGTGGGGGGCTGGCGAGCAGAGATGAGGGGGTTCACAGCCCAATGAATCTGCTATGATTTCTTAGGAATAATAACAGATCAAATCCTCACTGAGGGTTTTGTCAAATGTTGCCTGAACAAGGCCTACCTTGACTACTCTGTTCAAAATTTCAACCCTTATTTCCGGAGTCCTCTCACCTTGCTCTCCCTTTTTTAAAATTTCATAGAATTGATCACCTTCCAGGACACCACTCTGTTTACCTTCATTGTGTTGACTGTGTGATGTCTGCGCCTTTCTCCCCACACAGATAAGGGTCTGGGTCTGCTTTGTTCTTTAATGCCTTTCTAAAAGCCTGGAAGCATTTCTGGCATAGAGAAAGCAATTGCTGACTGGAATTAATAGCTATGTGTCCTAAGCACCAGCTGTTCCGGGCTGACTTGTGTCCCCCCCAGTTTGCATGTTGAAGTCCTAACCCCAGGACCTCCGAATGTGAACCGTATTTTGATATGGGTCTTTGGAGAGGTAGTTAAGTTAAAAGGAGGTCAGTAGGGTGGACCCGGATCCAATATGACTGGTGTCCTCGTAAGAAGAACTGATTAGGGACCCAGAATGCAGAGAAGGAAGACGATGTGAAGACACAACAGGAAGATGCCCAACCACGAGCCCAGGAGAGAAGCCTTAGAAGAAACCATCCGTGCTGACATCCTGATCTCGGTACTCCCAGCCTCAGAATCATGAGACATAAATCTCTGTAGTTTAGGCCACCCACCACGTCCGTGGTCCTTTGCTATGATGGCCCTAGCACACAGATACAGCAGCCATACCTGACACAGTTTGGAGGGGTTTGTACGTGTTGTCTCATTTGATCTGAACCACGATCTGAAGAGATAGTACCTACTTTGCAGATGCAGAAACTAAGGCCAGGAAATGTTGATGCGGGGGCCTGAGGAGGCCTACGTGTTGGGGTGCTGGGCCTCATGGGGCTGGGGTGGGGGAGCCCGGGTTGCTGACCCAACAAGGGCCCCTCCTTATCTGGAGTTCTGTGGGCAATCAGGCCGGTCGTCCCTCTGCCCCACTCCCAAACACACCTCGAAACAGGCCCGTGCTAGCCCCTCACACCCCAACCTGCTCTACAGGTTTTTTTTAAATATTTACTTCTTTTAAATAATTTTTTAATTTTTTTAATATTTATTTTTTTTAGTTTTGAAAGACAGAGACAGAGACAGAGCGTGAGCAGGGGAGGGGCTGAGAGCGAGGGAGACACAAAATCCAAAGCAGTTTCCAGACTTCACGCTGCCAGCATAGATCCCGACGTGGGGCTTGAACCCAAGAACCGTGAGATCATGACCTGAGCCGAAGCCAGTCGCTCAACCCACTGAGCCACCCAGGCGCCCTGCTCCCAGCAGCTGCGTGCAGAGTCCTGCGATCTGAGACGCTGCCTGACGCTCTATGGGGCAGTTTCAACGCTGAGGCCGACGGAGGGAGGAGAAATAAGACAGCTTTGGGGACGGTGACCCTCAAAGCAGTTATTGCTGATGTGCTGACCTGCAGGTCTGCGCAGAGAGCCGGGTTCTCCATGAGGAGGGTGTGGGGAGCCCACGACTCTTTAGCTGCCACTCTTAGCCGGGACAACAACAGTGGCTCACGTTAATTGAGGTCCTGGCAGGTGCCAAGCCCCGTGTTAAGTGCATGATACAGAGTTTCTCATTCAGTCCTCTGAGCAGCACTGCAAGATGGTCACTGATATTATCACCATTTGACAGCTCGGGAAACTGAGGCTCAGAGAGCTCAAGTAAATTGACCCCTCAGCTAGGAGGGGTCAGCACTCAGCACTCCAGTGCTGGTTCTCTTCACCAGCAACTCACATCAGCTGTATACCCTGCCGTGTGCTTTCTCAGGCTGTAGTTGGTTGGAAATGTTCCCCCAAACCCCTTGCACTGGGCAGAGAATTAGGAAGGAAGTTTGTGGGGGGAGAGGACAGAAACTCTGCCAACCCATGTGACACAGATCCGAGCTGCTGAGCGTGTGGCTGGTAACCTCTCCTGCTCGCTCCCCGCCTCCCCGCCAACGACCTCCATCGGGGAGCTGAGGCCATCCCCTCTGTGTGAATCCCCCTTCAAGGCCACCCTGTGCTCATCTCAGCCGGGGTCATGGGGAAGGCAGAGGTGGCCCCTGCCACCCGCTCGTTGTCATCGGTGGCTGGTTGCGAAACACCCTGGCCAGTCCATGGCAGCAAAGGGGGAAGGAATTCCCTTGGATAGTTCCCTGGATAATTCCAGCCCCTTCCCAGGGGTACAGGGACAGCCTGGGGACAGTCTGAAGTGAGTACCCGGTGGTGAACCGCCTGTGCTCTGTGACAGTGTGGGGCTGATTCCCTTTGTGCTAAAAGAGTCCCGAGGAGGGGCCATCTGGGGCTTTGACCGTCTGCCGTGTGAGCTTGGCTTTGGACTTCACAGCCTGGGACACTGTGGGTGGGAACCTCGGTGCAGGTGAAACAGGGCAGTCTCTTCTCCACTCCTTCCGGAGGGCGGCTGCCGGTGACCTAGCCGTCTCCCCCAAGAGTGGGTGTGGCCCAGTCTGGTGGGGGTGGTGTGCCCCCCACGTCGGACGTGCCTCTCTGTTAGGGGTTTGGGTCTCGGGTGCGTGTGCCCAGGAGCATGACCCTTGCCTGCTCGTGGGCCCGCCCCTGTCACCAGACCCCAGGCGGCCTACAGGAAGGTGTTTGGCATGGGAAGAGGGCAGTGATGTCCATGGGCCCAGGGCAAGAGGCAGGAGGACTGGATGGCCTTGGTGGGAAGCCAAAGTGCATGACAAGGCTGCATAGGGCCACGCCTCCTTGCCCGAGTCTGAGGAAGTGGCAAGGCCCCAGCTCCAGGTGCCCGAAAGCCGCAGCAGGGCAAAGGCCAAGGGCTTGTGCATCCGGGGCCTCTCAAGCTGCCGGCTGCAGGGAGGGGCTGGGCTGGGCACCAGCTGATGGAGGAGAGCCTCGAGGGAGGGGGTATTCCTGTACGTCCTGGTGGGGCTCTCTTGGCAGGGCTCCCCCCTCCCGACCGCACTTATCCTGCCCTGCAGGCTGGCTTCTGGGCTCTTCTTTAGAAGAAGTGGTGTAACTGTCATCCTTTCCGACCCTCCCCTCCCCATAACCTGCACCCCTCCAAACCCTTATCTTCACTATCAGACGCCCAGCACCCTGCTTCTCATTTCCTGGATGACTCTGTGGTTCTAGAAATTCAGAGCCACTGTGTTCTGAGAAGGTGCTTTCTGTCGCCCCTGGGAAGCGGGCAACACGGGCTTCGTGATTCCACGGGTCGCCCGTGGCTGCTTACAGCAGAAATGGTGGGAGGAGAGGCCCCGGGGCCTGGGCTAGGGCTGGCTCAACAGGCCAAGTTCTTGACGTGGCCACAGGCGCTTCGCAGGGACAGCTGGGCCGGCAGGCCTCACAGGGGGAGCGGGAAAGGTCAGGGAGGGAGCGCTGGTGTCTTCCTGGTTGAGGGTAGGGAGCAGGAGCAGGTGGGAGGCAGCAGAGACCAGGCTAAAGATGCTGGGGATACACCGGGCAGGGTAGAGCCATTGTCAGTGGGAGCAGAGGGCCAGGCAGTTTCCCAAGGCAGGGACTATCTATCCCAGGGGCTGTGGTCACCGGGGCTGTGGAAGAGGGTCCCCGGGGCCTACCTGAGACGGCTGGGTAAGGCCTGCTCAGCCCAGGTGCTGTTTGCTCCACGGAAAGGCTGTTGGGGTCACCGGGGGCCTAGGAGGAGGCACGTGAGGCCCTCTCTGTGGGTAGGTGTTCAGGTCAGGATGGGGTCAGAGACAGGAGGACGAGGAACTTTCTTCTGGAAGAGTGCATTGCTGCTGCAGGGGGCCTGAGGCTGTGGTGACATCTCCACCCAGGAGGGGGCTGGTGGCCAGAGGAGGGATGACCAGTATGTGCCATCCGGTCCCTTTGGGGCTGTGGCAGAGACCTGCGGTTTGGACACGATAACCACTGAGGGGTCAACTGCCCCAGTATGGGGAGCAGAGGCTACCACAGCTCCCTTTTGGGGACCCCCTACTCGGCCAAAGGACTAGTTTCTTCCCTTCATGCAGTAGGTCCTTCCAGGTGCCCACGAAGAACCTGACGTGCGCAGGGCACCGTGAGAGAGAAAGGTGAACGAGGCAGAGCCCTGTTTCCAGCCCTGAGGAGAAGCAAAAAGGCCCACGTGCCCAAAGATGTCTTTTTTTGAATCTTTTTTTATTTTTAAGACTCAGAGCGTGGGCTCCGGAGTGAGACCGTCGCGGTGGTCTGGGGTGCAGAGCAAGTGACACTGCACTCGGCCCTGAGGGCTGTATGGGCCACAGACAGAAGGAGGACGGGGCAAGGATGGTGGGAGGGGCACGGGATGGCCTGAGGAGTCGCGGTGGAAACGGCAACCGCCAGTAGTGACTAGGGATTCGTACTCGTAGCCCCGGTGGCTATGGGCGTAAACCAGATGTGCCAAAGCGCTGGCTCCGGGCCTGGGAAATGGTAGCTGTTAATCCTACAGAAGTTGGCTCCCAGCAAACTGAAAGGCAGAGGTGTGAATACGAGCCACCCCTTCTTTGCCCCCACCGGCGGGGCTGGGCCCCGGGTGGACCCAGCCCTCTGGAGCGCGGCCCTCCGGAGCTGAGAGCCTGGGGGATGGCAGGACAGCCCCATGCCTTACGCATGCTGCCCGCACTGCTTGGGACAGCGCCGTGTGGGCCCCTCCACAGCGGATTAAGATGTCCTTTCACCTTGGCCTGGCCATTGCCACTGGGGAGAATAGCAGGGTCAAGGTCCTTTGCAACTCGGGGAGATGCCTTCACTGCCCCGGAGCGGGATCGGGGTGTCCTTGCGTGACCCCGAGGGCCCAACTGCGGTTCTGAGGCGCTTTGGGGTGTGTTCCAGAACGCAGAGGAGGAAAGCCCACCCCAACCCCACCCACAGAAGCCAGGGCATCATTTGGATGACCGTCTGTGCCTCAGAACCTGCTCCCTGTTCCGAGATGTGGCCCTGTCACCTCCCCAGGTTCTGATCTTTCCACCCCCTCTCTGACTCCTCTCCCACATGTACCCCACTGACTCTGACTGTCTCGTCCAACCCTCTCCGACTCTCTCAAATCTTCCCTCCTCTCCTCCCCGAGGCCCTGTCTTCTCCTGCCTGCTATTACATTAGCCTCTCAATGTCCGGCTCCCCTCCAGACTCTCCCTTTCCGGGCCATTCTCCAAAGACCAAACCCCACACCAGAGTTCCCCTTAATGACACTCAATAACCTTCTAGATAAAACCCCAGTTCCTCAGCAAACCAGGCTCTCTGTGACAGGGTCCCTCTTTTTCCCACCTGCCTACCTCTTGGACTTTTGGGTCCAGGCCCATTGAGGTCTCCACCTGAAGCCCCTGGCCCTTGCTTTCTCGGAACTCCCATACCTTTGTACCTGCTCCCTCTGCCCGGAACACCCATGCATCTCAAGCTAACTCCTACTCAACATTTACATCTCTGGTTTACTTTTGTTTATTTTCTTTTAAACTGGAAATGTCTATCGTTTGCTGGCTATCAGTGTGACCCAGGATCGCTCTGCTCAGGGGTCACCGCCTTGACATTCTTTACTCCCCACCTGGGTGCTCTTCACGTGGGTGCCCTGGTGCTGTGAAGAACACACAGGTAGCATGCGTGAGATTTTTCGTTCTCCAGTTTCTCCTGTTTTATCCTCCCCTAGCAGTTCCTGAGTTGTATTAGGTGCCGAATAAAGGCATTGATTAGAACACCTAACTTACAGAGCGGCAAATTCTATTTCAAAGCTATAGATCCAAGGGTACGAATTTAAAGCTGAGTTTCATTATC